AGAGCCCAGGTGGATATTTTGGAAGATCTATCGTGCCATTATTTCCGATATTGGAGGTATTTGAACAAGGACGTGAATGAGTACTAGGGGGAGCAATAGTTTTGATTTTTTTAATCCTTTCTTTAAGTTTATTGGCTTGTTGAAGATACTCGATAACGATCGAGGGTGAAACCAAATGCAATTTACTAATAGAATTTTTTTTCTTTATTAATAACCTTTCCAATAAGTATTGGATGTCTGTTTTGATTGAATCTACAGTATATATTTCGGATTATTCGTACTTAATAATTGTTGCGCTTCGATAAAATCGATCAGATAGATGATCCAATCTTCAAAATCGTCACCATTCAATAAATTTGAAAGTCGAAACACCTTAAAAACGTCAACTCCATATCATCATATCATTAATTTCTTTTAATTCAATATTTGTAATTTCTGCCCAAATTTTATTTGAATATCGATGATCGTCGTTATGATATTTATCAGCAAAATATCAATGCGATCAAAAAGGTTTTTACGAGACCAAAATCGATAGCATTTTGGGTAATCAAGTATTTTTCGAAATACTTGGTTGAAATGATCACTGTAGAGAGAAAAGGTTCAATTAATTAATATTACAAGAATTTTTTTATGATTTATTTTCAAATTAGTGCGATAAACTCTTATCCTACCCTCTCATTAAATGAATGGTTGGTAGTCTATCACGTGACTGAACCCAAATTTTAGCCAATGGGATTTCATATGCGTTTTAATTTGATAATTCAGTATAAATTGGGAGAACTTCTGCTACAAAGTATTTATTAAGATTGTCATAATCAGTAGAAGTTAAACTAAATTCATGTGCCCTCCGTAATGAAGAAACCACGTCAGCCATAAATTCACCTAATTCCTTAGGACCTGAACTGAGTGTTTGAACTTTTGAACTTTCGTTGGGGTTTTGACTAAAAGAACCCATTCTTAGGGCATCATAAAATATTTGATTTATCGGTCCAGACATGACAAAGACGTGTAAACGAATCAAAAAAAATTGAGCACCGGCGGACAAATAATAAAACATCGGGGTATCACAAAAATTATCTATGACGATTAAATGAAGTATCCTTTTTTGGAACACGATTGTTTTTTTTAAGACTAGGCATGCAGCAAAACGATGAAATATTTACAAATATTTACGTTCTACTATATGCAAAACTGAACCAGTTTGAAAAAAAATTATCTAGAGTTCCTATTTGTGGAATATAACCCATTTTTAAATTATTCAATATTATGATTGAAAATACACGGAAAAGATAAATACAGATTCAACTTTAAGAAATGTTATTCGCTAATATATAAAGAATTTATTTACGTTATTGAGTCGTAAAAATTAATAATCTTATCAAATAATTCTGTGCTAAAATAACGTCTCGACTTTCTATAGCCTCTCGGGCGAATGATCAGTAAATGTTTTAAGTGTGATTAATTTCAGATATTGGATTTGTTGGGTTTTTAGGCTTTCCAACCATCTTGAAAGAATTGCATTTCATTACTAATAAGATAATAATTCATGATATCCTCCTTTGTAATATATTGACGAAATCGTTTAAGTAAATGTCTTGTTGGTACTCTAGCGGCAATGTAAGATGATTCTCCAAAGGGTTATGTGTTCGTTCATTTTTGAGTTTAAAATGAAAAAGCAAAATCAAGATTATCCAAAGTTAGTGATCCAAAGACAATGGCATTACGGAAAATAATTTTTATTAAGGGAACTTAATTAAACCTTAAAATAAAAGGAAGTTCATTGTCTTTTGAATTTTCAAATTTCAAAAAATTATATTGAAAATAAATTTTTGTATACAATTGAGAAAAGTTGCCCCGAAATCCATTATATAAATCATTTCCGTTTCTGGCGAATGTTCAACTTTTTTTACTTGATAGATTTTCGATAAGGTTCAATCCTAATTAATGATTCAGTTGTTTAATATTTTATTTATTATAATTCTCTGCCGTTGCAGTTTCTTGCTCCGTTGTTTCTTGTTCTGTCGTTATTTGTTCTGTTGTATGGATACCGACGAAGATGATAATTTCAACAAAAAATTCCGGTTTGACTATTATTATTGTTTATTATGGAAAAAAAAGGATTGGCAAAAATCTTTACTTTGAGAATATTCTTTATAGAAAGGCACAAAATTATTATTGGACGAATTTTTTTTCTTATAGCAAATATTTATTTCTTTGATTATGCATAATTTGTTTATTTTTTTTTAAAAAAAAATTGTTTAAAAGGTAAACTAAATAAAGTTAAAGTTTAGGTTTGACAGTAATGTTATGACATATATCCCATTTTAATTATACAAAAAAAAAGTAACGTTTTTTGTATATTCCAAACTGAAAAAAGGAACATTAATGAAATTATCAAACTATAACATTTATGGGACCCTATAGTAGATTTACAAATAGACCACCCAATTTAACAAGGTGGCGGTTAACAAAGATCCATTCACGTTCACTGAGAGATATTACACTTACAGCTTCTTCAGATGGATATCAAAATTTTCAAACGAATAGAATTCAAACAGTTGGAAAAAATGTTACGAGCCTTCTTCAGTTTATTCATGATGACAAAATCACCAAAATATTTAAATAATTTTTTTTTTGTTTCTCAAAACATTCTTTACATAGAGATGATAAATTTTGGTCAAACTTTATTGAGGTTTACATTGAAATAACCTTCTCTTCTTTATCAATTCTAATACAATATTAAAAAAAAAAAAACTGAACATTTACTTGATTCTGATTTTTATTTTGATATATATATATGAAGAAAATGCATTGACCCAGATAATTTAAATTATTGTTTATTTTCATGTCATACAACTGTTATAAATTTATTTAAAATCTTAATATTCTCATGGTTTTGAGTCCTCTCTTCTAAATAAATCCTTGTCCCCTGAAACTAAAAATTCTGCCTTTACAAATATGTATAAACTTTTTTTTTTAATTAAATTCTATTCTTGTTATTCCCGTTATATTATCTATTTTTAATTTTTGACATCTATAAAATATCTTTTAAATAACAAAAATTTCTTCCCTTTACTCTTTACATCTCTCAACATAGTATATTTCTATCAATTTTTGTATTCTCAAGATTTTATCTAAATGTAACACTATACTGACATCTACCATTTTTATGGTGTGATTAAAAAAATATAATATTAATGGATAACAAACATGACATGTCAGCGGTCCAGTTATTCAGTTAAGCGGTTAGATCAAGACCCCGAACATATATAAGCATATATGTAATAAATGTTTAATAAAAAATGTCGCAATGAACAGAAATATGTATTACAAACATTATATGTATAAATCATATTATTTATTCGATACGATTACATAACATAAATAAATAATTATAACATAAAATAAGCCAAAAGCGGTATTTATATTATTATAGTTTAAAACCTCATTTTATAACTGATTAATACAATAATTAAAATAGCGCGGAACTTGATATTTTTTAAGAAAAATCATGCATAATCATAAACATAATCTTTATAATTAATCTGATTGTTGATTTTTGTTTATATTTATTATATAGAAATATTTATTTTTATATATTTATATTTTATATATTTTTTATTGTATATATTTGTTTATAAATAAAAAATATATCGTTCGTTCCAACAACAACTACTTTTTTTCTTCTTATCGTTAATTTTTAATCATTGTTTCTTTTAAAAACAAAACTTGAGATCAAAACTTTTGATTATAAAATTTCATCTTTTATAGCTATTAAAAAAAAACATGGCAAATTCAATCGTACCAATTTTAGAAAGACAACAAATTCTTCAAAATTTAATTGAGGAACATGTCATGACTCATTTAGATAATTATCTCTTACTTCGTTCACAACGCAAAACAATATCATCACCACCTTACGCTGTGTTATCAGCTACCTCGAACAATATATCGTCAAACAGCAACAATGCATCAAACATATCAAATACAGCAAAAGTATCAAATACATCAAATACAGCACAAATATCAAATATATCAAACATATCAAACATATCAAAAACATCAAACATATCAAACGTGTCAAATAACACATTATCAAACAATAACAACAACAACAATAATAATAACGTGCCCATTACTCCAATAAATTCTTCATTCATATACTTTAATGATTTAAATCCTTTAATTCCTTATGATCCATCATATTCTAATAATTTTATAGGACCTTCAACAAATTACAACAACAATAATAATAATTATATAAATCCATCAAACCTTATAAATTTCAATAACAATTATATAAATCCTTCAAATAATATTTTATATGTTGATAATAATTCAAATTTAGTAAATTTTAATAATTTCAACAATTCCTCAAATCTTATAAATTTCAACAACAATAATCGTATAATTCCTTGTATAAATCCTTCAAATAATAATAATAATATTTCAAATGTTGTATATTTCGATAGTAATTCAAATCTAGTAAATTTGAATAATAATTTCAATAATAATTTCAATAATAATTTCAATAATAATTTCAATAATAATTTCAATAATAATTTCAATAATCACCACCACAACATAAATTCAATAAATTCATCAAACCTTGTATATTTGAACAACAACAACAACAACAACAACAACAACAATAATAATTTTCCATCAAATTTTGTAAATTCCAACAATTCCACAAATATTATATATTACGATCCTTCCACAAATATTATATATTATGATCCATCATATGGTTTATATTTCGATCCAAATCTTTCAAACACCAATAACATCTACAACACCAACAATATTAGCAATATCAACAATATCAACAATAACATAATGGGTGTCAATTATAATAATATCAGGAGTGTTAATAATAATAATAATAAAATTTTACCAGATCTCTCACAAGAATGTCCATCACCGAAACGAGTATTAAATCAAAAATTATCTGAATTAATAGATCAAGAAGAATCATTTACGCGAGATATGAATATAACAGAAATTGATATATCAATGATTTCAATTAGTCGAGAAATATTTAATCCCGACACGATACATCATTTCACTGATACCTTAAGTATAAGTTTAGACATTATAATATTATGTGATTATATAAAGAAATTACCTCAATCTAAGGATTATAGAATTGAACGGGTTAAAGAATTTAAAATGGCAGTCGGGTACTTTTGGGCTAAAAAATATGAGATCATAAATCCTGATGCGAAAGACTTTACTTGGATGTAAGTCGATTTTCTCTTGATATCGCTCTTTATATATATCACTCTTTTTTTTATATCTCTTTATATATATATATCTCTTTATATCTCTTTCTCTTTATATATATCTCTCTCTTTATATCTCTCTTTATATATCTATCTTTTATATCTCTTTTTGGTTTAAAAATATATATATATTTAGGATTTATTTTATTACTTTAATAGAATTTCGGGTGTAATAAAAAATGATAAGATTAATTTGTCATGTTTACCTTCAACACCAACGACAACAACGGTAACAACAACGTTAGTAGCTTATTTTTGTTACATCTATATAGTATCTTGTTTTATCATTATAATAATAATATGATACTAATAAATAATAATAATGATGATGATAATAGAGATGATGAAAAACGGCAAGAAAATTCATCAGTGTTGACGCTGACGTCATCACCGAATTCTAAAAAAAAAGATCCATCTTCTATGTAATTAATTAATTATTTTTTATTTATTTCCTTTGCTTTAAAATATTTTAAAATATTTACAAATTTTTAATTATTTCTTATTATTATTAATAGTTATATACCTTATGTCACATCACCTCACACAGTGGAAGAAACTAATGACACACTTCGAAAATGTAGAAAAATTTTGGAAAGGAAATTATTAGAATTTTTAAAACCTAATGAAACAAAATCAAATTGGTATAGTCTTTATTATATTTATTTATTATTATATTATAATTATATTATTTGTATTTACAATTATATCATTAATATTAATATTATTATATTATTAATATTATTATATTATTATATTATTAATATTATTATATTATTAATATTATTCTATCATTCTATTATTATATATATTAATATAATTTATAGTTTACAAAAATCCAAAATTCCAATTCCTAAGGAATTAAGTCAATTTTCATTTACAATTTATAATCGAGAAGAAAGTACTCTTAGTAATCTTTCTGATGACTTTTCACCTCCAAGTTTTTCAAACGTTTCATCACCTACAATTACTTCACAAAGTAATGATTATGATGATAATAATAACAACAACAACAACAACGACAACAAAAATAAAAATAAGGATAATAAAAATAATAATGATGACATCAACAATAATGATATCAACAATGATGACATCAACAATAATGATAACATTGACAATAAAATAAATGTTAATGATAAAATGTTAAATTCATGTATTTCACGGGATGTAAGTCAAATTCTTGGTAGAGAAAATAGTTGTATGAGCAGTTATATGAGTACTGATGATTTTTTTAATGAATTTATTAATTTTAGTAATGATAACTTTAATAATAATATTAATAGTAACATTACTAATAATAATATTAATAGTAACATTACTAATAATAATATCAATAGTAATCTTATTATTAATAATAATAATATCAAGAGTAATAATATCAATAGTAATAATAATATTAATAGTAATAATATTAATAATATTAATATTAATAGTAATAATATTAATAATAATATTAATAATATTAGTAATAATAATAATAATAATAATAATAATAGTGTTAATGATGGTCAGCAACAATTTACGAGAGGTTTTAGTATCCTTACTGGAGAACGATTAGAACATTTACAATTGACATCACCACAATTCATTCATAATAATTATACGGGAGGAGGAGGAGCACCATCAAGAATTAATTATATTAATTATACTCCAACTCCAATTCAAACTCAAACTCAGACTTTGGTGATAAGAAGAAATAATTCGATGATGGGAGGTGGATATTTGACTCATTTACCTGGATCATTTATAGAATATAATAATAATAATAATCATCATCATCATCACTTGAATAATCAAAATCCGAATTTGGGTGGTGGGAGATTTTATTAATTACTCTTTTTTTTTTTTTTACGGAATAATATAAAGGGCTCAAAGAATAAGAACAACGTGATTAGGTAAAAAAAATTATTATAATAAAAAGAATATTATTACTTTGCTTTTATTGAAAGAAAAATTTTTTTATGAATCATGTGATTCTAATTTGAATGATTTTTGATTATCCAAATAAAATGTGAAATAAAAAAAACCAAAAAAGAAAGATAACTTTAAAAACATAAAATCTTTACACTTATAACGGTAATATATGCTATTGTTATTATTATTATTATTATTATTATTATTATAATTATAAAAAAAAATCACGCAAGAAAATCCAAGACACATCTAAATATTATTTTCTATTTTTTATGTGTGTAATTTTCTTGCAATAATAATAGTAAAATATCTCTGCTGTTTGAGGCGCTTCAATTTTTTATTTATTTATTTTATGTGTTGAAGCGTTATAGGTATGCGAGAGAACAACTTTATATAATAATAAAGATGATAATTTAAAAGACAATAAAGATAATGTTATAATAAGTATATTAATTTTTCTTTTTATTCTAAATAGGACCTTTAAATATTTAAACTTGAATTTGAATATTTTAAATAAAAGAATAAATATTTCATAAAAAAATAAATAAATTAAATTAAATTAAATTAATTATATATAATTATATAATTCAAAACAAATAAAGAAAGTAAGAAAGAAAAAAAAAAAATAAACAATGAAAGTAGTAGCATTAATAAGTGGTGGAAAAGATAGTTGTTATAATATATTACATTGTATAGCAAATAATCATCAAATTATTGCTTTAGCTAATTTAAAACCATGTTCTAGTTCTAAAGAAGGTTTGTTAATTACTTATATATTACATTTATATTTATATATCGATTTTTTAGATTTCATTATTACTCATTATTATTATTCATATATTATTATTATTATTATTATTATTCATATATTATTATTACTATTCAATATAAAAAATACATATAATATAAATATAGATGAAATAGATAGTTATTTATATCAAACAGTTGGACATGAAGCAATTAAATATTATTCAGAATGTATGAATTTACCTTTATATCGACAAGAAATATCTGGAAATTCATTGATTCAAACTTCCGATTATAAAGAGACATCAGGTGATGAAACTGAAGATTTATTTAATTTGTTAAAAAATGTTAAGGTTGGTATATGTATATATATTATCTAATTTAAATAAGTTAAATTAAATAAAAAAGTGTTGAAAATAATAATATTTACATTATAGGAAAATCATCCTGAAATAAAAGGAGTTTCTGTTGGAGCTATATTATCAAATTATCAACGCATTCGTGTGGAACATGTGTAAGTCTATTATTATTATTATTGTTGTTATTGGTTTCTTAAATTTTTTTTATTTTCTAATATAAATTTTTTCACTTTCAAAAAAAAATTATCAAGTTGTAATCGTCTTGGACTTGTTTCACTTGCTTATCTTTGGAGAAGAAATCAAAAAGAATTATTAAGTGAAATGATAAATTCTGGAATTAATGCTATATTGATTAAAATTGCTGCCATTGGTAATTTTTTATATTCTATTATATTATTATATTTTATTATATTATATTATATATAAGATTTTATAATATTTATAATATTTTTTATAGGTCTTGAAATAAAACATTTAGGAAAATCAATTGAAGAAATGTACCCACATTTGTGTAATCTTGTGAGTTCCTGAAATTATTTTGTTATTATTTATTATTACTATTATTCTTAATTATTATCATTTATCATCATCATCATCATTATTATTTATATTTACTTTTTTTTTGATTACTTTTATTTTAGAATGAAAAATATAATGTTAACATTTGTGGTGAAGGTGGTGAATATGAGACATTTGTATTGGATTGTCCATTATTTGTAAAAAGAATTGTAGTGTAAGTGTTCTATTCTATTTATTTATTTCTTTCTTTCTAATTGAATTTCTCGTTATTCTTTTTTTTCAATACTTCTTTTTTAATTAATTACTTTCTTTCTTCCATCTTATCATCTCCTCATTTTTATTTCTATATTTACCAGAAAAGAAACTGAAACTATAATACATTCTGATGATGCATTTGCCAAAGTAGCTTATCTTCATTTAAAGAAATTGATGTTAGAAGATAAACCAAAGAATGAAATTATAATGATGAATAATCCTATTAATATTAATATGATTAAAATACCATCATGGGAAGATGATGTTAAAGATTTTATTGATGCAGGAAAAAATTGGGTAAGTTTACTATTTTATTATTATATTATATTTATTATTATAATTATTACTATTCTCATTATTTATAATGTTATGTTTATTATTATTATTACTACCTTTATTATAATAATGTTATATTATTTATTATTATTATTATTATTATACATGAATGGAACAATACTGAAATTTAATAATTCTATTATTATCAGATAAATGAAAATGAATTTAAAAGTTCTATATTTCCAATTATAATTGATTATTTTCCAAAAGAAGAAAAAATTTTTAATGGTAATCTTTTGATATATTTATAATTTACATGAATAATTGTATTATGATATTTTTAAAATATGTGATAATATTAAATCTTTGTTTTTTTTGAAATAATATAATAAATAGATAATTATATGATTTATTCCAATCCACCTTACTTTAGTATTTCTGGAATAACTGCATATTATAAAGATTATTCCCAAGAACAACAATTACCTTTTGATTCAATTGAAGAAGAAACTAATATGTGCATGTTAAACATTCAAGGTATATATATATATCATCAATAACAATAATAATAAATTATTTTCTTTAATTTATTATATATATATATATATATATATATTACATGTATATAGAAAAATTACATGAACTAAATTTAGATTGGTCAGATGTAATGAATATGAATGTATTTATAAAGAATATGAATGATTTTGTAAAGATGAATAATGTTTATAAAACATTTTTTGATATCAATCCACCTGCTAGGTAAGATTTGATTTATAATTATTTATTTATTTTATTTATAATTATAATTATAATTGTATTATAATTATTTATTCTTTATTTTTATTTCTCAAAGAGCATGTGTTGGAAGTAATTTACCATCACCTATAAGAATTCAAATTGATTTAATTGCCATAAAATCTTCTTCATTATTATTATTACCTTTGGATGATGATAATAATGAAAATAAAGGAATTATAAAAAAAAATAATTTTAACAAACCAATGGAAACTATGCATGTTCAAAGTATATCATATTGGGCACCTGCAAATATTGGACCTTATTCTCAAACTAAAATTGTAAGTTTTAAAAAAATAATTACTTAAATTTTATATTTATTATTTTTATTAAAACTTTATTTTAATTATTAACATTATTAATATTATTAACATTATTATTTATGTGTATATGCAGTTAAATAATCATGTTTATATAGCAGGGCAAATAGGATTAATTCCATCATCATTGGAATTTCCAATTCCATTAAATATTTTATCACAAACAGTAATTTCATTAAGAAATTTGAAAAATGTTATTAATGCATCATTACCAAATAATAATAATAATAACAACAATAATAACATTGCATTATGCATTTGTTTTGTAAATGATGAAAAATATTTTGAATTTGTTAGAAAATCTTGGATCTGGTTTTATTCTAATAGTTATAATAATAATAATGATGATAATAATAATAATAGTTATAATAACAATATACCAGTTCTTTATATTGCTGTACCTGCACTTCCTAAATGGGGTAAAATAGAATGGCAAGTTTTAATTCATGATTGTAAAAACAATGATTGTGATAATAAGGATAATATTTCTAAAGAACCTTTAATTTATGAAGGTAAGCTTTTTGCACCTTTTCTTTTTATTTTAATTATATATATATTTAATATTAATTATAGAATAATAATTATTAAATTTATCTTTATTTTTTTATAAAGATGAATTGGTTATTAACTCTGATAATAATAACAATGAAAGTAATAATAATAGTAATGATAATAGTAATGATAATAATAATGATAATAATGATAGTTTAATCACTATTAAAATTATCACTTGGTATTTAAATCCAATTTTATCAAGTTTGATAACAATCAAATATGAAAAGAGTAAGTTTTACATATATTATGTGTTTCTTTTTTTAAAAATACTAAACTAATATTGATTATTATTATTTAGATTCAACTTTAACATCATTATTAAATGGAATTATTATTGGATTAAAAAAATTAGTCAATCAACTTAATAATAATAATAACAATAATAATGATGATGATGAAAATTTATTTTGGAATAAAATATCTTCCATTAGAATATTTTATTCTGAAAAAATCAATGTTAATCATTTTCTATTAAATAAATGTAAGGAATTTTATTACATTTTTTTTATTTATTTTATCAAATCTCTTTCACTTTTCTCACTTGTTGATCACAAATTTATATTTAAATAATAATTAGGTATAAAATCGATTATAAAAATGGAATTCCAACCATCATCACCAAAATTTTCCATAACTTTAATACCGGTTTTATCAATTATTGATAATAATGCATTAGGAATTTGTGTACATGGAATTTTTCATTAATCTATTAATCTATTAATTATTATTATTATTATTATTATTATTATTATTAAATATTTTCAACTCAATCATTAAATATCTACTTCATTATCTTTTGTTATAGTTGCTGATGTTGTTCTTTGAATGTATCTTTGAATTCTAAGTTCTAATGCCCTATAAAAATAATAATTATAATATTAAACATTAACAAATAATAACAAATAATAATAAATAAATAAATAACATTCAATAACTTACTTTCTTTCTTCTTTTCTATATAATAAATTTAAAGAAACTGCTGCTCTCCAAACCGGTAATATACTAAATATATTATAATAAAATATAATAATAAAAATATAGTAATAAAGTATAATAATAATAATAATAAATCTAAATATAGTAATATAAATAAAATATACACACATTTTATCCAGTCCTTTACCATGTTCAATATATATCACTATACATCCGATATCTATAATAACATAATAATAATTAAAATGAATAATATATAATCAACAAATAATAAATATTAATAAAATTAAATTTGAGATATAAACCTAATTGATTTAATTTCTCTTTAATATTATCACTAAATGATTCAATTAATGGAGTAGGTTCAGATAATAACGTTTTTAAATCATCTAATCCAAATTTTATAACTCTTTTATTATCATCATTATCATTTTTGTTGTTGTTGTTGTTGTTATTATTATTATCATTATTATTCATTATAAGATAAGGATAAATTGTTGATAATCCTTCAGCATTAAATCTAAATTCACATTTAATTTCATTATTCACTTCTTGACGAGTAAATGTTCTTATTCCTGTGTTTACTATCTATAATAATAACAATAAATATAGATTATAATAAAATAAAATATAAAATAAATATAGATTATAATAAAATAAATATAAAATAAATATAGATTTTAATAAAATAAATATAAATTGTATTTACCCTTAATCGTTTACTATCAGATGCTTCCAGCACTCGTTTAACTGATTCCGAAACAAGATATATTGTTTTATTCTTTTCATTGGTTGAACGAACGAGTAATTGGTTGAAAGGGAAATCTTTTGATAATCCATAATATTCTCTATAAACAAATTAAATTAAATTAAATAAATTAAATAAATTTATAATTATTAATAATCTACCTGATTATAGGTATTTCTTCATTGTCAGGTTCCAAAAAAATAAAAGGTTCTTCTCCTCCAATTCGTTTTTGTGATTGTTGATTATTATCATTATTATCAATATTATCATTATTATCATTATTGTCTTGTTGATCGTTATCTGGTTGTTGTTGATTAAATTCCTTCTTAAGTTTTGTACGTTTATTTGGTTCATTTTCAAATACGACTTTGGATCTTTTAATAGGAATAATATCATCATTATCAATCTTATCATTATCAATGTTATCATCATTATTATCATTAATTATATTATCAACACTATCCTCTTCTTCTTCTTCTTCTTTATTAATTAATTTATCTAATTTATCTTCTTCATTAAATTCGGTTTTTGTTGTTTTTTCAATTTCATCACCTTTTTGACCATCATTATTAATATCATTACTAATTATATTATCATTATCAATTATATTGTCATTAATATTAATTATATTATTATCATTATTAATATTATCATCATTATTACTAATATTAAAATCACTAATATCAGTGATTGGACCAGTCTTTTGTAATATAGCAATGAAAAATCCTCCAGTATCTTGAAAATGAGGATAAATTCTTATACTAATTTTACATACATATAGAGATTTTGTAAATTAATAATATAATAACAATAACAACAATAAATAATATAATAATAATTTACCATCTCTCTAAATTTAATTCATTCACATTTGGAGGTGGCCACAATGATTTTTCATATTTCTTTCTATATCTTGGATTAATATCTTCTAATTTATCAACCCATCTATTTTCTTTATTCATTACCTGCTCATAAATATCATGAATATTTTATTATTAATATATGGATATGTTTTTATTATAAATATCTTTATTATTATTATTAAATATTTTTAATGAATTTGTAAATAATTTACCTTCCACGTGGTTAATCCCGGTGCTCTTTTCAATTCAGGTAATTGATCCGAGACATCAACTAATTGTAAATTTCCTCTACATCTTCTTAAAACTTCTGCTATTACTGCTTCATTTTCTAAAGGATTTAATGAACAAGTAGAATAAACGATTCGTCCATTTTCTTTAACTAGTTGGGCACCTCGAAGTAATATTTTTACTTGAGTACTAAATATATATATATAAAATAGATTATAATATGGTTAATATAGTATAGTAATATAGTCAAATATAATTTATATGAATGATAATTTACTTACTAATGAAGACCGATAGCATTTCCGATACCCCAATTTTTCCAAATTATATAATTCTTTCTTAATGTTCCGTCTCCACTTTAATAAGATAATATCAATAAATAATTATTAATCAATAATTAATTAATCAATAATGAATAATTAATTAATCAATAATAATACCTGCACGGAACATCAACTAAGATACGATCAAATTGTATTGGTTTTAATTTTCCAAAAGTGTCCTATATTTAAATATATTTAAAAATATTGTAATAAATACAATATAACTAAATAATATATAACTATTAAATTAAATATTTACTTGTTGCACGTAAATTCCAGGAAATTGGACTGCATCATGATTTGTAACCATTAAGCATGGACTTTTCAATCTTTTAGCTTGATGTACTAACATATGGCTTCTTTTTGCATCTGCATCATTCGCAATTACAATTCCAGCTAAATTATATAAAATTATATAAAATTATATAAAATTAATAAATAAATAAAAAATAATATAAATATAATGTAAATATAATATTAATATAACTATACTCACAAGGAATAATATTACTATGAGTATCATTTATATGAATCGCTTCAAGAATTTGTGTAGTTTTTGATCCAGGAGCTGCACACATGTCAAGCACCCAATGATCTGGTTTAACATCTAAAAATAATGGTGGTGTCATACTAACTGCTTCTTGTCGACTAATATTCCCCTTTTTATTTTTAATTAATATTAATAAATAAAAATTAAATTTAATTAATTAATTACTATTATTATAATTATTATGATTATGATTATTATTTACTTACAATTTCAGTTTCAGAAACTAACCATTTATGAAATGATTGAAATTCAGGTTCTTTTTTAATAATACTTCTTGGTGCAGAATGTTGCCAAGCGAGTTCATCTGGATACCTATTTTAAATAATTATTATTATTAAAAGAATTATTATTATTATTATTATTATCATTGTTGTTGTTGTTATTATTAAAATTTATAATAAGAAATTTTTTATTACCAAAGTAAAGGTTTAGGTGCTTCACATCTTTTATCATCTCCAAATTGGATTTTATTTAATTTTGGTACATATTCATTTTTCATTAAATCTCTTAATTCAAATGCTTGACTATTATTTATGAAATATTATTTATTATTATTATTATTATTTTATTATTATTATTAAATATTATGTCTTATATTTAATTGATATTATTTTACCTTCTACTTCCAGTAATTCTAAATGATGTTGGTAATGTTATTTTAATCACTTCTAGAAATTTATTCCATTCAGTTTCATCCGATATAATATTTTGTATCTTTAATTAAATAATAAAATAATTATTAATTATATTAATTAATATCATCAATTCTTAATTTATAAAGTAATAAATAATTATAATAACAAAATAATAATAATATTATTATTATTATAATTGTAATAATAAAATTATTATAATTATAATAATAATGATAAAATCATAAATCAAATCATAAATCAAATCATAAATCAAATCATAAAATAAAAAAATCATAAAAAATGATTAAATAATAATTATAATAAAAATACCTTATAATAATTTACAAAAGCTTCATTTTCCCTAACGATATCATCAAAAGGTATATGTTGCCGTCCCTGTTGTTGTTCTCCTTCTACACCACTTAAATTTTTATTACTATTATTATTATTGTCGTTGTTGTTCTTGTTCTTATTATTATTTCTTTTTTTTCTTTTCCAAGTCATAATATTATTTTTTATTATTATTGTATAAATTAATTTTTTATATAATATTATTTTTTTTGTTGGTTGTTTGTAAAAAAATAAAAAACTATTATTATACATCTTTTTTATTATATAAATTTTCACCAGATGGTTGTAATACATCAATAATTGGCATACTAAGCATTGTTAAGTATGACTAGTATTTCTTGCATAATAAAATCCGTTAAATTAGTTAAATTATATATTTCCGTGCTATATCTCCATCTATCCCATCTATCCCATCTATCCCATCTATCCCATCTATCCAATCTATTCCATCTATATGAAATTGTAAAATAACCAAATTTGGATTCTTTTGGTTAAAGTAAATTTTTAGTTAAAGTGAATGAATTTATTGACTGTTAAGAGCACGAGTGATGTAATTTATTAAAATTTAAAGATTTCGTTCATTTCAATGTTTTCTTGTTCTTTAAAAGAAACTCAATTTAAATAAGTTTATTAAAATAATTATCAAATAACAATTGATCAATTACAATAAATCATGCATCAAAATATTCGATTTTTGTTTAAATTATTTATTTAGATGATTATACAGAACGAAAGAAAGAAACATACATGCAAGTGTTTTGTGATCAACAATTAAATTTTAAGAATAATTTAACAGATTGAACTATTTATTCCACACTTTAATAATTAAGAGTTTAGTCCAATAGTAACGAACTGACCGTTTGACGCTTGGGACTGCTCGTCTGAAGGATAGTTCCTAGTTCAATGCTATGTTGTTATTGTCATTGTCATTATTATTGGAAATGTTTCTTATAAGTTTATTGTCACCACATGAAAATCGAATGTGAAAATTTTACAAGGCAAAAAAAGTGTTTTTGTCAAGTTAAGATGAAAATTTTGTAAGAGTGACCCAGTTCGTTAACAGTAATATAACATCTGAAAATTGTTATTGAGATGTTGAAATGGGGGAAAAGCACTCTTCGAAACTTATTATTCAATAATTTATTATTAATTTTATTTCATTTTCCCTTTGATTGTAAATTAATTAATTAAAATATTCAAACTAAAAATTACATGAATGTTGTGATATATTTTACTTCTATAACTTTATATTACTTTCAACAGTAATAGTTTTTATATAGTCTATTCTAGTCTATTGTTATAAAAAATGGTTCTAAGTAAATTCTTTGGTTTTGCTACCCATCCTTTAGCCATTTTTTGTGTAACATTTAGAAAATCTAGACAATAAAATCGTCACTCGCGCGTATTTATTTGTTTTTCTTTGTTTTTTTTTTTGCCAAAAAAATCTCTAATAAATTAGTTAAGATGCGATTTTCTTGCTTTTCACGCTCTTCTATAAATTGCGTCACTACTGATAACCTGATTTTCTCTTCACGAACAAAATTTATTTCTGCCTTATGTTATCCACGCGTAACCTCCGAGAACTTTATTTGCTCATCACAAGTAAACTTCACTTCAATATTACGAAAATCACACGTAACTTTTCCAATAAACATTATTAAATTACATCATTCATGCAGAACTTTTGAGAACTTTATTACTATACAAAATGTTAAAAACGTCACGAGAAAAGAACATAATAAAGTGTTAGTTAATACGCTTGCTGTCCAAAATGCTTCTCAACAAAAGTATCGTTATTTATTCCAATTTATTTTAAATCATCAAAATTAAAATAAGTTAATAATCTAATTCTTATTTATTCTTTAGACCGTTTCAAACAAAATCCGAACCAAGAAATTGGATAAATAAACCAAAAGCTGATTTCTTTAATGTGAACAAATGTGACTCTAATATTCCATCAAGAGATTTGAAGAAGTTACCTTCGGAAATTAACTTTATACCAAAAGATATTTCATTAGAAAGACATATTAATTTTCAAAAATTGGTTGATGCTGTCGATGAATATGGCCGTAAATGGGATTTTATATCAAAAGAAATTTTCAATTATAATTTCTCTCCTGAATTATTACAATATAGATATGAAAATGCTATTAAATGCTTTGGTCCTAACTTTTGGACTACAAAAGAAACCAAAAAACTCATAGATGCAGTATTATCATTCGGTGAAGAATGGAAATTAATTTCAAGTGATGTATTCAAATCCCGAAGACGAGCATCTCAATGCCGATGTAAATGGGAAAAATTAACATATGGAAAAATTTTGGAAAATAGTTACTCGTCAGAATATAAATGTCCACCACAATATCAAAACTCACAAAGTTTCCCACCGCGAAATCATGACCCACCATTTTGCTCATTATTTTTTAAAAATAGAAAACCATTTCATATAAAAGATAATCCACTATTAGAATATCTACCAGAAGATCGAAATCGAAAACGAAATAAATATGATTATTTGTTTGATGATCTTTATAAAGGCTGGACTGATCATGATACTCATACTCTCATTAAAGTAGTAAATCAACATGGTGAAAATTGGGAATTAATTACCAAAAAATACTTCATCGGAAATTCTGTCTTAGGTTTGAAATTAAAATGGGCTAAATTTGTTTCATCCGAACGAATTTCTAAAAATGAAAAAGATGATTTAACGAACAATACTAAAGATAAAAATAGATCCGTGCATTAGTTCAATTTGCTTGTGTAATCTTTATTATTCATTTTTTTTAAAAGAAGCGAACTTTATAAAATTATTTTTAGTAAAGTTTCAAAAACATTATAATATTATCTAATAGAATGATTTTTTTAAAAATTATATTAACTCTAAGAGTTTTATGAACACTACATTTTATTAATTTAATATTGGATATTGGATAAGAATGGATACCTTTTTGTATAATATTTAAATAATAAAAACTTTACAAATGTGAAGTAAAAAGTTACAAGACTTGAAAAAGCTTGTAATTTAAGAGTCAAATAAGGTTTGGTCATGGTTATAACAAAAAAAATCATTATGATTTGACATTTGACATGCACAGTGAACGAACCCCTCAAGGGAAATAAAAATGTCTAATGGTCCTCATGTGATTTGAACATCCATTGTGTTATGAATTTAGTGTAACTACCTGTTTGAAAATAAATAAATAGTTTATTTTGAAGATGGCACGTGTCATATAATTGATATATCCATCTTTTTTACTTTTTTTACAACAATATTTAATTACAAAAATGATTTTCCCGTCATCATCGTCATTAAAATTACTTTCTTTATTGTCTCCTCATAGAATAATTTATCGTCGTTCATGTACTTTTAGTAGTAGAAGCAATAAAATAGACACTTTTGGTTTCAATATAAATAATAAAATAAAGTGTCAATTTCCACATTCTCCATTATTACTCTTATTACCTCAAAAAAAAATGAATAACAACTTGTTTTCAACAACTTCTAATGCTGAAGTGAGAGAACCACTTTTACCTTATATCAATGATAATAATAATAATTCCTCATTAATAACTTCAAGAAGAAAGTTCAGTACTAGTAGTAATAATAGCAACGATGATACTTCTCCAACCAGTGAGGAATTGAAACGTTGGAGTTGGGTTTGGTGGAAAGAATGGACTATTATTTTTATCGTTTTCGGAATTACTGGGTCAACTACTGTTAGGCTCGTTCGGCCCCTATTAAATAATGTTCTTGGTATTGAAGGTAGTTCTTTTTGTTAATTATTCTTGTGATATTTATTTATTCATTTACTCATTTATTTTTACTTATTTATTTATTTATTTATTTATTTATTTATTTAATTTATATATATATATATATATATAGGAACTTTAAAAGAAGGTCCATGGTCATATAGATTTTCTTATTTAAGTATTACACTTCCATTATACTCAATAATTCTTATTTGTGTAGGTACATTATTTCGAAGACAACAATATTTTAAAAAAATTGTATTTAGAATGTATGGAAGGTTTATTCCAAATAAATTAGTTAATAGAATTAGTAATAAAGTTGGTAATAGGAATGGTACTAGTAGTACTAAGAGAAATTCAGATGAAAATTTATAAAAATAGAATATTATTGAGAAATAAATAAGAAATTTTTTTTTATTTAATACTATGAGACTATGATATCAAACAATTTTTAGTGTTACGTAAATAATTAATAAAGTTATTGTTATCACGTGAATTAATCCCATTCATTATTAAAAAATTATTGGCTAATCCAAAATTATGACCTAAGGTTATATCGAGTATCGAATTATTTCTGGTCCGATGACAATGCATTAAAAATGACATTTTCGATTTTCCCACCACCAGATTTCTATAGGCTCAAAGAGGTTTACATCAAATGTTGTAAAAATACAATATTTTTAAAATTTAATAAAAATATTTGATAATATATATAAATTATGTAATAAATATATATAAATTATTTTATAAATTATGTAATAACTGTGGGTTTTTCTCTTCCCGTGAATTCTTGAAGTTTAGTAATTTCCAAAGCAACTTCAATTAATGGTTTTAATGCTATTTGATTATCCATTTCATAATCAAAAGGATTTTTTGAATATTTTTCTATATATAATCTAATTGTTGCACCTTGGCTTCCCGTACCGCTAAGTCGAATAACAATTCGTGAATTATCGGTAAAGATTATACGAATACCCTTTTTTTTAAAAAAAAAAATATGAAGACAATGAGATATATCGTTAATATATATATATATTTGGGATATTTATATATTTTCAATATAGATTTTATTAATTCTGTTACGCACTTGATTTTTAGACACGCTGCCATCAATTGGATCGCAATATTCAAAATCATCGGCTTTTGATACTATAAATTGACCAAAGGTTTTCCCAATAAATTCATTCTTGCCTTCACCAATCAAATGATGAAGGTGCATAATCACTTTTTTTGCATTTTCACCATCCACTTCTTCATAATCATATCTATGTCAAGAAATGGTTAAAAAAAATGAATTAATGCGGAAAATAAAAATATTGAAACAAAACAAAATTTTAAATAACGCACCTCGTAAAAAAGTTGCGACCATAGGTTTCATAATGATTAAAAAGAATTTCTTTGATACCTACACCAGGTTTCTTTTCATTTATCGCGGCAATAATATTGATCCATGCTATTGAAATAATAAAAAATAATGAAATAATATGAATTAATTACATTTTATTGATATCTTTGAATAGTTACCAACAATAGCCCATAAGCCATCTTTTTCGCGAATATGATCAGATCCAGTTCCAAAACTCTCTTCACCACAAATTGATAATCTACCAGCATCCAAAAGATTACCAAAAAATTTCCAACCTAAATTAATATTTTTATAAGAATAGATATTATAATGCAACATATGTATATATATATATATATAAAATATAAAATTGATAAGTTAAACAAAAACGAAAACTTACCAGTAGGAACTTCAAACATTTCGACACCTTTATTTTTTGCAACTAGATCAATTGCTGCACTTGTTGGCATACTACGAGCTAAACCTTTTATCCCAGTTCTTTTAAAATATGGAATTAATTCAGCATGGGCAGCAATTATTGCTACTGAATCTGACGGGTTGACAAATGCACCTTTGCCATAGATCATATTACGATCCCCATCCCCATCAGATGCAGCACCAAATTTAATATTTTCTTTTTCAACACGTTTAACAAGATCATGAGCATAAGTAAGATTTGGGTCAGGATGACCTCCACCAAAATCTGGTAATGAAATACAACTTTGAACAGAGGATTGGGGAAGACCAAGTTCTTCAATAAAAATCCTTTTACCATAAGGTCCCGTTACTAGATATTAAATGATAATATGTTATTGATAAAACAAAAGTGATTCATAATTTAATATATGTTATAATTCTATTAATAAGCATATAAAACCTCCGTGCATTCCATCAAATAAAACTGTATAATCCGGATTTTTTACAAAGAAATTCTTGATTAAATCAAAATCAAAAATTTCTTTTAATAGAATGACGTAATCGTGTACAGAATCCACAATTTTTATCGTAAACCCATCAAATTGGCGTTCACCAATTGTAGATAAATCGATCTGTGAAAAAATGATATAATAATTTATTACATAATAATTAAATATTCACAAATCAATAATTTCGAATTTACTGAATTTACCGAATTTACCTCAGGAAATTCACATAAGAAAATTTGTTTGATATCTTTTGATTTTTCATAGATCAAATTAGTGATATTCTCTGGAGCAGGACCTCCGTTATTTACATTGAACTTTATACCAAAATCATTATCCGGACCTATAATGAGGGATGATGAGGATGAAGAAGATGAATAATAAAATTAATAAAAAGATGAATGATAAATTTAGTAAAATAAATTAAATCCGTTATAAATAATACATTACCTCCCGGATTATGAGAAGCGGTAAGAAGTATACCACCATCAGCCTTAAGAACACGAATAAGATTTGAAGCAGCAGGAGTGGACAAAATTCCATTTTGTCCGATGATCAATTTAGAAACCTGATTTTAAATGGAATTAAGAAAAATTGTGCTAATTTTGTTCAGACTTTTTTGGCACATTAAATAATAAATAATGAAATAGTATCATAATGATAGTTATAATAATATATTTATAATAATATTATGATAATAATAACATAAATAATTACGTAATAATATTAAAATTATGACGAAAACACAATACCTTATTTCCAGCTGCTACACGAATAATTATTTCAATTGCTTCTTTAGAATAATATCTTCCATCACCTCCAACAACCAATGTAGAGCCTTTAGCTCCAGGAGCAGGCATTGAATCCAAGATAGCTTGAATAAAATTATGCGTGTAATTTTCCTGTTGGAAAACTTTGACACGCTTTCTTAAACCACTTGTGCCTGGTTTTTGGTCATTGTAAGGTTTAGTAGGAATTGTACAAACTTCTAAGGTCGACATTATATTTCTACAATTAAATTTTTTGTTAGATGATTACATTTTTAAATCATGTGAATTACATATTCGAATTATGCGTTAACTAAAACCAGGTAAATTTAATTAATATAATTAATATAATTAAATATAAATAATAATTCAAGGATTCATTACAGGTATAAATCATATGACCTATTTATATCGATACAATTTCCCATTTTGGAATTCATAGCGAAAATATCATTATAAGAAAAAAGTCGACAAATGAACTTTGCAAATTGCACCATTTTTATCCAATGATTTCAAGATATGAAAAGATCTTTGTAAATTATAAATATCCAACTAAAAAAGTTTTATTATTCAAATCGTATTCAAAATCGTCATTTCATATTTCATTTTGTATTCACATAAAACTATGATGGACAGTACAAACGTCGTTGCCTTTATATCCCAATTATTAGGATGGGTGAGTAATTATGCACAATTGTGGATATTGGATATTGTGGAGATTAAATTAGATTGTTATTAAATTTCTAATCAATTTTAATCACGTGCAATAAAGTCATATTTTGTCTCATGGTCAATTAGTTTTTATCCGCAAGCCATATTAAATTGGCGACGGAAAAGGTAATCTTTGATATTTTTTTTAATATCTTTAACTGCATTTAAAATATGGATTCAATAAAAAAGTCAAAAATAAATTTATTATTAAGTGTACAAGGATTATCCATAGATTTTCTCTGGTATAATATTTATGGATTCTCGTGTTATTCGGTATGTGACACGTGATTCATAATTTTATTGATTTTTAATATTTAATAATTTAAATTTAATCTAAAAATTTATAATAACTTAAAAAAAAAAGGCATTCAATCTTGCATTTTTCTTTTCAGAAGAAATTCGAAGGGAATATCGAGAAAGTAATGGGGGAAAAGACAATTTAGTTCAAGTGAATGATGTGTACTTTGCTTTACATGCCTTACTATTATGCTCGGTCACGTTAATTCAAACATTTATATATAAGGTAATAAATAATTCTTCTTATTATATATATATATAAATTATTTTTATCGCGATTGATTATAATTAATATCAATTATTAACAATTAACAAAAGAGGGATCCGGGCCAAAAAATATCTCTAATAGCACTTTCTATCCTTGCAGTTTTAATAATGAAAACATTATCAATATTGATGGGAATCCATTTCGGAAATAATCGATGGATTGATCTTTTGTATTTTTTGAGTTATAGTAAATTATTTCTTAGTTTAGTTAAATATTTACCTCAAGTAAGATTTTTCTGTTTATATTTTAACTGTTAATTTTTTTCTATTATTAATATTAATTAATTAATTAATTTATTTATTTATTTATTTATTTATTTATTAATTTATTTATTTATTAATTTATTTATTTATTTATTAATTTATTTATTTATTTATTTATTTATTTATCTAGATGTATATAAATTTCAAAAGGAAATCTACAGTTGGTTGGAGTATTCATAATATTTTATTAGATTTTACTGGTGGTACTTTGTCAATTACTCAATTAATATTGGATGCATTTATCTCAAATAATTGGGAAGGAATATCAGGTGATCCAGTAAAACTGTAAGTGGTATATTTTTTAAATATTATTCAAACATTATTCTAACATTTAAATATTTATCTAATAACATTTTATTCATTTACAAATAGTGGCCTCGGTTTATTAAGTATGTCATTTGATTTGATATTTATGACACAACATTATATATTATATCCAAATAAATCCAATTATTCTATTATAAATGATGGTGATAATAATGATAATGAAGAAGTAATTAATGTAGATTTAGAAGAACCATTATTATTTAATAAGGGAAAAACAGATCTTAATAAATATGTTTAACTTTAATTGATATTATTTATAATTCTTAATTCAAATCAATAATTTATAATTTATTATTCAAAGATTTAAATTTATGAAAAATAAAATTAAATAAAATTACAAAACATAAAAATAATTTAAGGTTCCAAAAGTAATTTTCCAGAAGTCTTTCGTTGTGCTAAATCTTCATGAGCTTGTCTCACCTCACTTAATTTATATATTTTCCAAATTTTTATATTTAATTTTCCATTAATAATTAAATCAAATAATTCTTTAGTACATTGTTGAAATTCTTCTTTAGTATAAATATAATTTACAATAGTAGGTCTCGCTAATTTTACATTCTTCGCCGAAAGTCTATAAATATCAAAAGGTGGTATCATTCCACTAGCATTTCCATATGAAATAAATGTTCCAAGTCGACGTACACAATTTAAAGATGTTTCTAATGTAGCTTTTCCCACTCCATCATAGACCGCATGAACACCTTCATTATTAGTAATTTGCATAATTTCTTTAACAACATCTTGTGAAGTAGAATTGATGACGTATTCTGCTCCTGCTTTTTTGGCTAACTCCGCCTTTTCCGGACTAGAGACAGTTCCAATTACATGAGCACCAAAATTCTTTACAAGTTGAGTCAGAAGACCACCAACACCACCTGCAGCAGCCTGAATAAGAATCCAATCTCCGTTTTTAACTGAATAAGCTTGTGTAACGAAAGTATAGGCAGTTAAACCCTTTAAAAAAAATTTTTTTGTAAGAAAAAAAAAAAAAAGTCAAAATATGTATTAAAAAACGAATCATAAAATAAAAATAATAAATCATTAAGTTGCCTGAAGAAGAGATGCTGCTGCTATCTTAGTATCAATTCCTTCTGGTAATTTGAAAACATATTTTGTGGATGTCTTGGTATATTCTGCATAACTTGATCCTCCAAAATAAACAACGTGATTACCCGGGACGATATCTTTTACGTTATTTCCAACTGAATCAACAACTCCTGCTCCTTCACGTCCAAGCACTGCTGGTAGTGGAATTTTATAATCGCCTGATCTATAGAATTATATTATCTCAATTATTTATATTATATGAATCTATATTATATAGAATTTCAAAAAAATTGAACCTATGATAAATATCAATAAAGTTAACACCCATAAAATGATTTTTTATTAACACATCGTCCGGATCTGTAATTTCAGGGCGAGGAATCTCCTCATATTTTAAAACCTCTGGTCCTCCCGTATTTTTAATTTTAATTGCTTTCATATTCGGAGACGCCTTTGTTTTTAAAAAACGCGATAATTTTATTACGTTAAACAGCATAATTATTTATCTTATATGATATATCTATAATCTGTCAATCAATTTTGTACAAAAAAAAAAAAAAATAAATTAATAAATAATTTTTTTTTATTTAATGTTGAAATGTCAAGCAACCAAGTTAGTTTTGCTGTTGCTCATAGACGTTATGTAGCTTCTTTATATAAACGTGCTTTAAAAACTTCCCTTGATTGGTATGTATTTCGTGACATATGGAGACCAAAAGCTTTAGAAATTCGTGCTCGTTTTGAAGCAAATAAAGATGTGAAAAGTTTTAAACATCTCAAGAGTATTTTACAAGCAACTGAAGAAGAACTTTGGAATTTTCGTCACCCAGACCCATATATATGTAAAATACTTCTATTTTTATATTATTATATTAATTTACAAAAATGATAAAAAAGAATTAAATGATATATAATTATATTAATTATTTACAAAATTTTTTTAGATCCCACTGCCCCAGGAGGTTCAAAATTTGAAAGAAACATACCCCCACCACTTATTGTATTGTATTAATTAATTATTATTACTTTTAAATTATTATTTAATCTAAATAATTGATTTTCTCACAATTAATTTTTTTTTTTTTAAAAAAAAAATAAAATAAAATAAAATAAATAATTAGCATAAACAATCAGAGCATTAGCCCCCGAAATTTTTTTACTTCAAGAGAGAGTGTTTGCGACCAATTTAAGAATTTGTTCTGCGTTCTTGCCAACATTTTTCATGTCTTTTGCTACTGCTTGCCATTTTTCACCGTGATGTGGTTCGGCAGCCACACACCTTGTAATAACATCCTCTTGTTGTTGCTGTATTGTTAATAAATAATAATAATAATAATAATTCAGTTAATGATTAATAATAAATAATAAGTAATAATAAGTAAATGATTAGAAAACTTTTTTTTTATTTAAATAATTACCTCTGTGCCGTGTTGACATTCAAATTTATAAAACCATGCCCAAGAATCTCCCCGATCAGGATCTACCTTAACTGCTTTTTCAAACCAAGTACGTGTTTTATCCACTTTACGTTCAGCCCAAAATAAACGAGCCACGGTAGAAATAATAATTGGGTCATTATCACACTTTTTGAGTGCATCAACCGACTTGGTCTTGCGTTGTGCACGAGGTTCCATGAAAATTGCCTCTGACCATAGAAGACCTGAATTTGGACATTCTTGCAAAGCTAGATATAGAATAAATATATTAGGATGGAAATATTAGAAATATTAAAAATATTAGCTAATGCTTGATATTTGAAATAAAAATAAAATAATATATACCTTTAGCTAATAAAACTTTAGCCATATTTATATTGCTTCCTCTTAATTCAACTCGAATAGCTTCACACCTAAATTAAGAAATGTTAAGGAATGTTAAGGATCGAATGTAATGAATACGTAATAATTTACAATTATTTATTAATTATAATAATATGATTTACCATAATTCTGGATTTTTCGGATTTAATAGACGTCCTCCCTCAAGTGTAGCCCTAGCTTTAATTAAAAGACCTACCTTTTCTTCTAAACGAGAAGCAAGTATCCACAAAGGAATAGATTTCGGACAATTCTTTACGGCTTCACGATAGGCCTCACGTGCTTTGGGTAAATCTCCTTTTTCATCTTCAATTTGACCTTTGATCATCCATAACTTATCGAATGTAGGATATTTGCTCAAAGCTTCATCCAATAATGTTAAAGCCTCGTTAATTTTACCAAGTTGTCTCTCCAAAACAATTGATTTCATCCATACTTTTTCTGTGCCTGCCTGCTCTCTAGCTTTTTGTAATAACATTCTAGCACGTTCATATTCTCCATTTTCAGCTTCAAGTTTTACCGCAGCTAACCATATTTGTTCGCTATTTGGATTTGCTTTGAAAGCTTCAGTTAAAATGGCACGAGCACCATTAACATCGCGCTATAAATATATAAAAAAATTAATTAACAAATTATTCTAGTATAGTGACCATAATAAATTCAAATTCAACCAAATACATACTGCAAGCCATTTTTCTTTAGCACCCATAAGCCACAAAACTTCAGCTTGAGGACAAAATCTAACAGCCCGCTGTAACAATTCCTCAAGTGATTCTCTTGTACCATGTGATTTTTCTAAAAATGCTGCTCTCCTCCAAATTGATTTTTTCCCAGGAAAAGCTTTTAAAGCTTGAGCGTATATAACTCTAGCCGTTTCTATGGATCCATGTGATATGCAACTTTCTGCATCTTCCATCCATATAGCTTTTTTATCTTGTTCCTCTATATTCATATTAATGGTATTTCTAACTATGGCTTGACATGTGCCAACGCTACCTTCTTTTTCACAATTTTCAGCTTCCTGTAACCATTGATCTCTGCCTAATACGCTTCCTTTCTCAGAAAGTACAGTAACAGCACGAGCTATGATTTTGTCTGTCATTTTTTCATTGCCTTGTTGTTCTTCAAGACGTGCAGCTGCTATCCAAATTTCATGAGAAGTAGGTATGTGAGTGCGTGCACGATTTAAAACTTTTTTGGCATTATCATAACTTTCAAGTCTTGATAAAGCTAGCCATAATTCCACAGATAAAGGAACAAGTTCTGTAGCCCGTGCCAACAAGATACGTGCATCAGATGGATTTTCTTCCATATTAACTGCTGCTTTCCAAAGTTTCACTGAATTAGGAACGAATTCCAAAGCTAAAAAAGTGAGTTGTATAAATAAGTATAATAAATATTAAGTGATTATAACAATCACATAAAGTCTTTACAAAAAAAAAATATTTTATATAAAAATTTTACATACCCCTTCGTAAAACTTTTTTTTGACCTTTTTGATCAGTTTCTAATTTTACTGCGTGAAGCCATATTTTTACTGATTGAGGAAGATGTTGAACTGCATTTGCCAAAATAGTTCTTGCAGCATCAGGATTATTTAAACGTGCAGCTTCAAGCCAAACATCTTCATTTTTAGGACATTCTTCACATCCTTTAGCAATAATTATACGTGCTTGAGCAAGTTTTCCTGCCACCTCTTCCAAACGAGCAGCCGCAATCCAACCTGGTGCGTGTTTAGGATTAGTGGAAATAACTGAATTCAGTAATAATCGAGCTTTTTTGATATCCCTAAAAAAGAATTATCGTTTAATAAGATTATAGATTAATTAATTATAGATTAATGTTGACAACAAATAAAAATATAATAAATGAATATAATTACCCAATTTCTGCATCACTTTTAATAACTACACTATTTAGATCTGTCAAATAACCCTTTGGATCTACTGTGGTCTGTCCACTCACTGAATCAGATATTTGATCTAATTTCAAACTTAACACTTTATCTCTAGCTTGACCAATTTCAATAAAGTTAGTCATCATTCCCGTATCAGGAGAAGGTGTTGTAAATCCCCCAAATTTCTGAAAAAATATTGATAATAATAATTTAATCATTTTAATTATATTTTTAGTTTAAATTTTTTAAAAAAATTAAATTAATTAATACTTACTTGTTGTTGGGCGTCTAATTTATTGATGTATTGACTCTCTTCTCTGGCCTTTTCAAGGAGAGAATCTGGGACTGCGTAATATCTATTGATATTTTTTATTTATATTTTAGCAAATTAAAATAAACAAAACATTTAATTAAATGAAACATCATTTGGATAATACCGTTCGCGTAAATTCGTTTTTTTACGATTTTTTCCTACAAGATCTCCCACATCGGGTAAGTTCGCCCATTCGTGATTTGTGACTGAAGCTAAACCCCGTTTTAAATCAGCGAATTGCTGTTGAATTTTAGGTCTTTCCGCCCGATATTTTTCTAATTCTTCTTTTTCACGGGCCTCCCTAACATATTTTTTAAAAAAAATAATAATCTGTTATCACCGAATTATTTGTTGTTAATAATAAAAGAGGTTTTTTATTATAACTTTCAAATTGAATACAAACCTTCTAGCTTTTCGTCGTTCATCCATTTTTGAATCAATGGCCTCATATATCTTATCAGCCTCTTCATCATCCTCTTCATATGGTGCCGATGCGAAAAGACCCGTTTCATTATCGGGATCTTGAAAACGCTCGTCGTCGTCTTCTTCGTCTTGTTGAGCTTTCTTTTGTAGCGCATCACTTAATAATTGGTTTTAGAATTATTAATTAAAAATAAAAATAGAATGAAATCGTTAAATAAACTATAGAGATTTTGTTCTTACCTAAAATCCGACGGGCCTTCTCGGGCAGGTCCAATATCGGATCGTGTCGTAAATCCAGTAGCCCTAGAATTTACAAGTACAATTAGAAATGACTTAAAATTTCTTAAACGATCTGAAAGATTAAATATTTGTATACCCTCTACCAAGACCTGCCACATAATTTGGTGGGGCCTCTTTATTCATAAAATCTTTTGTGACCGAAAACATTTTCGTTATAAGAAGTTGATTTGAAATTCTAAAAATTCGAAAAAAAAAAAATCGAATTTATATTTAATAACACCACGTGATTCGCAAATGTCACCAGATCGAATAAATTATTACCGAGAATAAATAATATAAAAGTTTTTTATAATACATTAATGTTTAATTAATGTCATAATCAAGGAAGTCGAAAAATGAATCCTATGCCTGTAAATATACCATTGCTTTGGATTATAGCTGGGTAATCTTACTTAAAAATAAATCCTTTGGCGAGTCATCGATAATAATACATTAATACTCAAAAAAAAAGGTTTGAAATATTGTGACTTTTAATGCAGATTCCACTTTTATCCACTTTTCACTTTTTTACAATAGTAAAATATGTATATCAATGATATCCCTTGATCCTTCTCTCGTAGTTTAAAGGGCATCTTCTTCTCCATTACAAAAAAACGGTTATTTTTTTTTTGTTTTACTATTTTTTCGCCGAGTGCTCAATTTTTTTGATTCGTTTACACGTCTTTGTCATGTTTGGACCGATAAATCAAATATTTTATGATGCTCCAAGAATGGATTCTTTAGTCAAAACTCCAACGAAAGTTCAAACGCCGAGTTCGGGTCCTAAGGAATTAGGTGAATTTATGGCTGACGTAATTTCTTAATTACGGAGAACACATGAATTTAGTTTAACTTTTATTGATTATGACAATCTTAAGAAATACTTTGTAGCAGTAAGTTAATTTTATTTTAGGAGGATTTTGGTTTTTTTGTCACATGCCGCATTTAGTTTTTGGTGACAGATAAGAGGTGTTTACACCTATGATTTATAATCGATGGGCATGACACATATGACAAATTTCTGCCCAGTAAAACTACCCCATGCGACAAAAGACAAAATCCTAAATTTTGAATAAAAATATTAATTAATTGATTTATTTTATCCTTTTCATAAATACTTTAGCTTTTGGAATTAACTCGCTACAAAAATACTTGATTACCCAAAATGCTACCGATTTTGGTCTCGTAAAAACCTTTTGATCGCATGGATACTTTGATGATAAATATCATAACGACGATCATCGATATTCAAATAAAATTTGGGCAGAAATTACAAATGTTGATTTAAAAGAAATTTATGATATGGAGTTGACGTTTTTAAGGTATTTCGACTTTCAAATTTATTTGAACAATTATTAATCCGAAATATATAGATTCAATCAAAACAGACATCCAATACTTGTTGGAAAAGGTTATTAATAAAGAAAAAAATTCTATTAGTAATTGCATTTGGTTTCACCCTCAATCGTTATCAAGTATCTTCAACAAGCCAATAAACTTAAAAAAAAAATAAAACTATTGCTCCCCCTAGTCCTCGTTCACGTCCTTGTTCAAATACCTCCAATATCGGAAATAATGGCACGATAGATCTTCCAAAATATCCACCTGGGCTCT